TTGGTTTGAACTCATTGGTAGTTGATTTCTGATTGATCGAAAATATGTAAAAATCAATTGTACTTATTTTTTACTCATGTTATGAAGGAACAAACTCTTGCATCGATTATGAATAATTTCAATCTTTTAGACAGAGATCTGATTGTTTAAGCTCTCCAGTGAAGAAGCTGAACGAAAGCAACAAGTTCGTCATACGTTATAGGGTAAATACGACATGAGCTGCAGACAAGTTGTGCATCTTGTCAGTTCTTCTTCTATCCTTCGAATTCTCACAAAATTGAAAGAGTCTCTTATCCTAGCCATAGACAACTAGATGGAAGTTAGATCGATGGTTGTCTCTAAGAACTTCAGAGTGGCTTATTTAGAAGCAATTAGATACAATCAGAACAATAGTAAAAATGAATAATACTCGAGATTATCAACTTTTGCAGACATTCCATGAGAGAATTTTCAAGTAATCGTGCCGAGAGAAAAAAATCCGTCTAAATCATTGATTTCGATGATTTTATCGTGATATAATTTCATCATTGATAGATATAATGAATCACGATAAATCACCGATTTTCTTCAGCACATAGAAATCTATAAATATTCAACGAAAAACCTGTTGAAAAAGAGAGAAGAAAAGATGAAGACTAACTGAGGCGTAAGGTTAGTATGAAGAACGATAACATGGGGAAAGAAATTCAGAAATAGAAAAGGAGAACTTTTAGACAACTAAGCTAACCGAAAGAATGTCTGTTTTTAGAGTTTATATTGCGTCGTATTTTATTCTCTCATATGTGCATGCCAAATCTCAAAGTTGAGAATGAACTTTCAAAATAATGATAGACCATTTCATGAAGATAGAGTCTAGAGAGAAAAAAAGATTATTGAGACCCATCGATTAACATTTCAATGATGTTTTGCTTGACAAACTGCAAATTTATACATCACATGCATGACTATTCAGGTGAAGTTTTGAGAAAATCATTACTTTTCTCAAGTGTACATCTTGCTTACTGTCATAATGAATTATTCAGTTGCAAGGCCAAAAAAACTTTTTTTTCTTTTTCTCTCTAGATTCTTTTCTAAATGAAAAGCTCAATTATATATTGAGAATATTCGAGAGTTGGGCAGATACAGTATATTCATCGAATGGTGCCAGAACGTTATGTGAAAGTCCCTTTGAATACACAGGTAGTATAGAAAGACGTATTTTATAATGATGAGATAACCTAGTAAATCGAGTATCTTTTCTTGCCATATACTAAGCTGAATAACTGATGGGAATAAAGTCATTCACTGTTTTTAATTGAAATATGCTTGTTTTGAACAGAATTACGCTCATTTATCTGTCTTACGTCTAAAGATACATTTGGAAGATTAAACTTCGTTCATGTTTAAGAATAGCTTATATTTTTTCTGGCAAATATTACTGACAGATTAGTTGAGCAGTAAGTAACAGAAATTTTAGTGCCTAAATCTTTTACGTTCTAGAAATCAACTTGAAAAAGATACCACTTTATCTATATATTTTGAATGTTGATATGTCCAAAAATCTGATTATTTCTAAGAGCCGCTTGTTTTTCATGAGTATCTTCATCAAATAGGCTACATAATGTGATATTGGATTTGATATATGAATTGCTTTGTTTTTCGAAATAAAAACGTGAATGAAGTTCGATTAAACTATAAACAAAGCGTAGATTGATGATAAACCAAAATAAAACGAGATTTATAAGATATTTGTAATAATTCTCCTTGGATAAAAAACAAACAAGTAATTTGGATCTTAAAGCGCAAATTTTGGAGAAAAAATCAAAATACTGATAAAATATCCCATCATGCTTTTACTTCATTATGATTTTCGATACTATTATCGATATTTTTCTATCAAAACTAAAAGAAATCTAGATGTATTTAATATGAATCCAAAGTTATTTGAAAGTATTATGTCACCGAGCCTGTAGAATACTTTACGATACACAAAGGCGACTTTACTCGAGTTACTTTTAATTACAGCTAAAACTAAAAGAATTCTAGTTTTATTGCGAAAGATTAGAACATTACTGAAGGTCACAATAGAATATGATATTATATATATAGATTTACAGGAATATACATGATTCTTCTTCTTTTTGTTTCATAGATATAAAAAGCAGTAGCATCCGCAGCTTATCATTCATTACTTTAATTCGATTATTCTAACAATGTCGAATTCAAGCAGTAATTCCAGTGGTTTTACACCCATGAATCAAATAACATATGCTGGATCTAGTGTTCTTGCAATACCCATGATAGGACGATTCTGGATGTATCTGATATCCAATTGTGCATCTATGGTTTGTTCTTTCTTCGTTCTCTATTATCTGCTATTCAAGCAAAATCTTCGACATGCCCTAAATAATCATGTTGTTATTATTATTCTTGTCGTCAATTTTATTACAGAAATCACAGATATTCCTTGGATTCTATTTCGTATGCGTTTTGAAGTTGTTTTGCTACCAATACCATTTTTCTGTCAACTTTGGCAATTCATCGACGCCGTATCATATACAGGGACGGTCAAGCTAGTTGCATGGGCGTCAATTGAACGACATATTCTTATATTTCATGAAGGATGGATGTTAACATTGAAGAATCGTATTTTATTTCATTACATGCCTATCATCATAGTTAGTACCTATCACATACTGCTTTATCTCGTGATATATTTCATTCTACCTTTTGACAATGTATTTGATTACACAAAAAACTTCTGTGGATACGATAGCTGTGCATATGATACTTCATATGGAGTCTATGAGCTATTCTCAAATGGAGTACTGTCATCAATATGTATTGCTTTCTTCAGTATTGCTCTCATTGTTCGTGTTGTCTATCAAAGATATCGTGTGCATCAACATGTCGATTGGCGTAAGCATCGAAAACTGACACTTCAACTTCTTTCAATTGTATCACTATTTTATTTGCTATACCTTCCTCTGGTTTTAGTGGCTCTCGTTCGCTATTTTACTGGTTTTAAGAGCTTCGCTTCTCAATATTATGTATACGGTAGTTTTCTCTCTTATTACATCAATTTTCTTCTTCCTTTTGTTTGTGCTGGCACACTACCTCAACTTAAACAGAAAATAAAACATGCATTTTGCTTTTGCACAAGAATAAAGATAACAATCGCACCATCAACTATGAACAATGGAACTAAGCCAATTCGTCATACACTTACTGCAGCCAATATGACTTCACGAACATGAAGCAAGTATAGAATAAATCTGACTAATCGAAAAAACGTCAAACTATATAGCCTGCATGTTGTAAGCCTTGTAAATCTGCTTCAATAAACAATCTTGATGGAATAAAAATATGAACAAAAAAAATAATTAGCTCGATCAATAAGAGAGAAATCTGGAGTCGACAATGAATACAACCATTAGTGTGAGCGCATTCTCACAAGAGATACTTTTAACAAAAACATTTTACTATTAAAATTCTGATAGCTACTTAAGTAAGGGTACGGGTGTTGATGGGTGCTAGAATGTGGATGAGTTTGTAAGAATAAGACCCACACACCTACATCCACACTCAATAGCATCATAATGTTGTAACCAAACTAAGTAGACAGAAGTTTAATGACTACAATCGTTATTGCTATGAACTAAAAGGTATTACATATATGGAAGAAGGTCACAAAATGACGACGGTCATTGTTGATGACTCATTTAATGTCAGCTCGAGCTGCAAATTTAAAATCGTAAATTTGTAGACGAGAAAAATAGACGTTAACATCGTCTCTCTCTTGTTTCACTTTCTGGGAAAAAACATTTTCATTGACGTACCACTTAAAGTTAATTCAGCTCGATCGTAATTCTTCTTGAATGAAAGCTTCGATTTTCCTCTTCAAATATACATAGTTAATATCTCTTTATCGTTAAATATAACAAAGATGAAAAATAAACACGCATAAAGACGAAAGTTACGAGTTACCCTTTATGCGATGGTAAGTTTTTATTTCATGAATTAGATTCAGTATTCTTTGTATGATCATAGCTTGTTGTTATATTTATAGGAGAATTCTCCTATAGATAGTAAAATTAAGTTGAAGAATAGGAAGACCTTCACAAACGCTCACACCTACATCTACAGCCGCACTCATACCCTCTCTTCAAGATGGTCATTAAATTTGCTCTTTATAATAACATATCTTGAACAAGCACAGATAGCTACTAAAAGTATATGACACTTTGCACGTCTTAAACATTGCTTATTGTGACATTGTTTTCATCATGGTTTTTCGTGATGAGTGTAGATAATAGTAATGATCATTTTTCTTTTTATGTTTATTGTAAGCAGTGTCAGCAGTGACTGGTACAAATACAGAATCAATGGACACTTTGAAATGCTCTCAGTTTGACATGCACGACATTGAGCAATGAAGCATACTTCTGACTAATGCGCTTATTATGTAAAAATTTCGTGGCGAACATCAGTACACTAATTAATCACGGAAATATAGCCACTAATTAGTGCACAATAGAGATTCAAGTGATGGAACCGAGTTCTGTGATCAATTCATATATGTGTAATAATGGCTCCGTGTCATAAAAGACGTGGTCAAGCTTCATGATTGCTTTTCTTTATGTCAAATATCTTAGTCTGGATTTCAAATGAAACTCATTTTCCTCATGACACATAAGAAATAATGTTTTCAAACAAAAAAAGATTGTATAAAAATGATGAGCATGAACATCTGTGACACTAACGTCAAAACCTTCACTGTACTGAATGCTTTTTGTAAGAAGCATTCAAATTTGTACTGGACTTTGAATATCTAACTTTAAAGACAGTGTTTGACATATACAGATGGGACAAAGAGAATATTCAAAGAAGTTGGTTGCATTATTGAAGAACTGTGCTTTGTTGCGTCCGAATGTAGTCACGCCCTATCAACACATTCCTGATAAAATCTTTGCCTCTCGTGCATTATTTTATTTTTATTATTATCCTGGTAAACTTAGGATATGATATTAATTAATTTAACTGTTGATGAAGATAAAAGAGAATATTTGAAAGTTTATTATGGAATGGACAGGTTTGAACTTAATTTTTAATAACAACTTTCTATTTATTTGTGCTTTTTTAGTTTGCAAAAATACTTTTAAATATTCTATTCAATCTCATTGACAATTATAAAGATTATTTTTCATTATAAAAAAAAGATTACTAGATATCATTTAGTAATATGTATACTTTAATCGATAGCCAGAACTTTCAATTGTCTGAAAGATCAGCAGTGCTTGGAAAATTTTCAAGAACTTGACTCTATTGAGAATTTTGTCAGATTTACCCGATACATTTTAATATATAACCGTATCAATAAATGAAAAATAAACTTTCTCTCTCTGTCTCTCTGAACGAATAAATACAAGAACTTAATTGGATTGCTTTTCATATAAAAATCTTAGAAATACATCAACATAACGATTCTTGAGTTGAAAAATATTGGTAAAGGATGGAAAACAATAGAGTCAAACAAAGTTCATGCCAGTCTATGGTTAAATGAATCACCATTACTGAGTAGGTATTATGTTCAAATCTGGCATCACCAGCCATGAAATGATACTGATCAAATAACTAACAATTCTTTGTCTCAGATCATCCGTTCGATAGCATACTTAATACGTTGCGGCATAAACTTGCTTTGTTGGTTCGTTTGTGTGTATTTGGAGCGTAAAAATTCTACGTCGGACCGGCCTTCTGCTCAGAACTACAGCTAGTCGCAGTAATAGAGAAGATTTTGAGAGATTGAATCTGCCACTCTGCAGCACTCCATAACGTAAGGTAATCGAAAGGCAGGAATATTCTTCTTCCCACAATTAAATACACTTGTATCTAATATTGATTTCGTATCTGTGTCATTAACTAAACTATCCAAAATGACATCCATGGAATTATGTCCTGGGATTTCTCGAATGATCTAAAGTATGTGTTGTAAAAGTTTCATAAACTAGCTGTTTGTTATTGTATTTAATTCAATATTTTTTTGTTCTAGTTTCGTTTTTAAAGCATTATAGAATTATTGTGATAATAATTATGAAAAAGCTGACAAACCACCAGTTTAGGTTTCTGCAGATCAACTTAAAATGTTACTATAGTCTGTTTGATGAACCTCTCCGTAAGCATTGCATTTGTTTATTTTATAATTCAAGAACAGAAAAACTACATAAATTTTGTTTCTTTGTTAAGCATGAAAGCAATCTCGAGTCAACTGATGATCAACCATTAGATGAATTCAATAAACAATTAATAAATGAAGAATATTTTTCAGTAGCACCACGTTTATATCACCGTACAATTGAAGAAAATCAATATTTACAAACAATACAAATAGACAATCATTTATTATAGTTTTTTAAATGATTCGGACATTTGTTTTTTTTTTCTCTCTTTCACATATAGACATACATATACTGTACTTTGGTATTTTCATCTACTGTTTTTTTCGAGACTTAATATCCTTTGCGTTTTATCAATGTAACTATTTAATCAAATATTATCATTTTCAACAATAGAAGATAAATACTAAGACATTTTAACTCATGTAGTTAGCTTACCAATTATTCTAAAATCATTTCGACAAAAAAGTAGCAGATAGGAAGACTATCGATTTCTAAATATAATGTATTTCACTATTTTTTGAATAGCTTTTGATTGAAACATCATAAAAACCTGCAATTTATAGCGTTCAAAAGAGAAGATCTGGAAACATCGAAGAATATCGAAATTTGATTGATTACAGTCGCCCAGTCAGGTAAGTTCTTGGTGAAGATTTTTGAAAACGATACAAAACTGGCATTTCTGACTTGTGTCACTCAATAGTGATAAAACTTTTCTTGAAATATCTGAATATCTAAGATACTAGACATCTAAAGTAGAATTAAAAGTCGATGAGCTTATTTACAGTCTTATATGCCCTGATACTTTCTACAATTTCCCTTTCAAGATATGATTAATTAGGAGTTCAAGATGAAAAGTAATGGAGAATATTAGTACTTCGCACACATCGTTTACCTGTCATTTTTCTGTATACCTGTACGTGTATACATCAGCTAGTTCGTTTTACAAAGTTATACGTGCTCGTCACGGTTGATTACCTTTTGTTAATATTAAACCTGCATAATGGCAATGAGCAAGCATTCGCTTTTTCTCATTCTCGGTAATTACATATATTTTTCAAAAGAAGTGAGTATTTACGTACATGCTTTGTGCGTCGAGTTTTTATTGTGCAGCATGTAAACGAAAATTTTTTAAAAGATTAATATCGATTAAAATTTCGAAATCCTATCGAGCTATATTGGAATTGAATATTTGATTTTTGTGAAACGAAATCAAGGTTATAATCGATTACAATTAAGATCTCGTCAGAAAAATCAGATCATCAAATTTGATTATTTCCATAAGATATTGAAATTTTCATCGGTTTTAATGGTTCGAATCTTCCACTCGGTTTTTACCTGTTAATCAATTTTAATATGTTATGATAAATCGATTTTAATCATACATATCAAAGATGAGTACTTTTTAAAGATCCAATTGATTAAGATCGATTGAAAATTGAAAAAATGCATTTAAATTTATAAAAATATATTGATCGATTTTTATCTATTCTGTAATTTGCTTTTTGTAATTTGTATCCTCGCGGATTTACTTATCTCATGTGTGCATCCTACTTACAAAAAGAATCAGTTTTTCTTCTTTGCTACTTTTGGAACCGATTAAACATGATTTATGTATTAGACGAACATGCTATTAATAAAAAACAATTTTGATCGAATTATTTTATCTAAATTATGTTTTGAAAAGGAAACTAATATTATTCATGATCATGTATATCATGTTTGTTCTTGAAATTTTGCCCTTATAAATATTACATGACATTATTATCTTCCTAGTCTAAATAGCAATTAAAATTCCGCTAATAATGCTTCATATTAGTCAAAACCATTTGGTTTTGCATAGATTTTACTGATATTCTTCAACATCTTGAAAATCGATTAACGATTGAAATCGAATATCGGTAATCAAAAATAGTCGTGATTTTTTGATGAATATCTTTCAGTGGAATTTCTCCACGTGTTCATTTAAAATCAAGATACTTTCTCTTATTTCAAGGTTCTAGTTCTTTGAAAAGTAACAAAAAACAAGTCCTCTCAAAGGAAAATGGCTGCAATGTATCGAGTGTTTGTAGTTTTACAACAGGAGATGTCAACAATATCTCAACTCTATGGTATCACAATGATCTCCAATGTTGATGAAATTTGCACCGCTTGTAGAGCTCTTAATTGTAAGAATTTTCATTAGACTATGCAAACGACGTACCGAATTGCGAGTCATGGTTGTTATTTCATTACTGCGTTCTACCTCTTTGATGTCAATTATTTGCTCTTTTTAACTATCCCTATCCTATTTTCTAACAGATGACGCGATTTCTGACTAGTTCTTATGTTTTCGTCTGCTTGTTTGATCGAGATCAACAATTATACATGCTCATAGTAGAAGTGGCATACGATAAACTGTAGTTAATGAGTAGCAGTAATGCTTGAAAAATGATTTTGAGTACTGCCATTAATATTGAAGTATTGAAGTGGAATGAAGGAAACGGAAACTGCCTATGACGCCACTCCAACATTCAAAACACCTCTAGAAACCACACTTGAACCTCAGATCTACATCAGAATCTACACTCTGTTGATATATCTGACACACTATAGGATTGTCAAATGTATTGTGAATTCTGACAAAACATAAGCACCAACATACACACAAATAGAAAATCCAAAAAGATATCAGTTTAAAAGGGGATATTGAACCCGAGAACCAAAACCAATGTCTCATGAATGCAACTACTGATGCTTTGGTTTTAATTACCATTTCTTACATACTAGATTTCATCAATTAGAAAATCTGGAAGATTATTTTGCAAAAATCTATCGAGAATACTTCTTTACTTGAAACAAGTTATTATTATCGTAAGAGAAATTATTTTATATGAGAAAGAAGATATAGCTCTTTTTTCTTATATCTTTAATTATGATTGTATTTTTATTTTCATCGAAAATACAAGACAAGTTGGATTTTTTAACCATCTTTAGTACATTGAAAAAATAATTATTGGAGTAAGAAATACTTAAAAGTATATCTTCGTAGGTATTTTCTTCATTTTTACTTTTGTATGCATTAATGAAGAGTACTACAGAATGCTCGTCCGCAACAATTCATTTTGCTTTACTAGTTCTGGTCTTGTTTATTTGCTCTGACTACTCAATACATATGATGGTTTTCTCTTTAGAAAAATATTAGTTCTTGTCGATGTACAACAAAAACAAAATTCCACTAATTATGTATTTCTTTTATTACAGATACCAAAAGATATATTCAAGTATTCATACGAAAATAATAATTCAAAAACATGACTATAGACGTTGAATTGCAAACTCGACGTACAAACTCTCGCTTAGTAATTCCGGATTCTGAAGATTTAAAAACAGCTTGCCCTATGATTGGTTATTCTCAGGAAGCGCTTGTTCCGCTTGCGGACACATGTGCACCTTTAGTCCATATTGTCTATCATGTATCAGAGTATGTTTCTGCCGCGCTGGACCATACTGCAAGTAATCCATCCGATGGTCTAACTCACGACGAATCAGCTTCTATTTGTCTCTACACGATGGAGTGGAAGGAAGGACATAGAAGTCTCTATTCCCTTCTCAACGAAACACTCAGGGCAGTCGATCGCGAACAATTGCAGCCGTGGTTCAAATACCTTAAACTTTTTCTCACTGCCTTGGTCAAATTACAGTGCGCACCTTCACAGACAGTCTGGCATGGAATACGAAACGATGTTAGTCGAGAATTTCCACCGGGAACTCAAGTGATATGGTGGGCTTTCTCATCCTGTACATCATCGCTTCCTGTTTTGGAAAATGATCTTTACTTGGGTAATGAAGGTGCAAGAACTCTCTTCTCGATCGAGGTCTTCAGTGCTAGAAATATTCGGAACCATTCATATTTTGCCAACGAGGACGAAATTCTATTGCTGCCAGCGACATACATGGAGGTACAATCACAATT